TCCAAAATGAATGGGTTAATATGGAGCATGTCAGCAAAATCACAGTTTGCAAATGCTTTAACATTTTTATATAGAAGAATGGATCCATTTCCTGAACACACAGCAGCATAAAGCATTTTAACACTGGTTTTGAGCATTTTTAAACTCCAGTGATAGAAATTCAGCACTCAGTAGCAGCAATGCTAACCAATTAGCACTCAGTAGCAGTAGTGCTAACCAATTAGCACTCAGTAGCAGTAATGCTAACCAAACAGCACTTAGTAGCAGTGATACTAACCAATTAGCACTCAGTAGCAATAATGCTAACCAATCAGCACTTAGTAGCAGTGATACTAACCAATTAGCACCCAATAGCTGTAATGCTAACCAATTAGCACTCAGTAGCGGTAATGCTAAACATTCAGCACTCAGTAGCAGTAATGTTAGCTTCCTACTGCCAAAAACCTGTTTTGGTGAAATACATCCTTCTATTTTCTAAAATTAAACAAAGATCCTTGACAAGTGGTTAGAAACTGTTTTAACTTTTCTTTTTTAGCCGTTTAGCTCCATTCATCCCTACGCATTTTGTTTTTGATATAATGGGAGAAATAAGAAGCAACCTGGGTCCCCTCAAGCCAGCTCTGGCTCAAGTTCTTTGCATTGTTTAAATCACTCACTTCGCGTAGCTTGTAGTCACGCTGTTGCTCGCCGGGTGTTGTTGGCTTTTGTTTTTTTTTTTAAATAAATGACTTCCGGTCTGCCTTGTCACTTTTTTTGTTACAAAGATCCTGAAGCATGTTGAATTCTCAGATTATTATGAAAAAACTCTTTGACAAAACTGCAATAACACACTGGCTGCGATTCTGTCATGGCACCTGCCCATCATCACAGAGCTAGCAGACTGGAGAGTAGGCCATTATGACAGAAAGCAGGGATGGAAATAAAGGTGAATTCATGCTGTAGTAACAACAATGAAATATTAGTCAAGGGATTTCCACAGAATACAGATGAATGTAGTTATAGTTACTTTTATTATTACCATTTAAGTATTTATTACGTTTTATGACATGTGTTTTCCCTACCTGCTCCTACCCCACCTCACATTCGGCCTAAGTTTCCATGTTGTAAAAAGTCATTGCCTGTGGGAATTTTTGCTGCTGACACCAGCACATGCTTTTAAATAATAACCCTTTTAATTACACTTTTTATTTAAATATTCCTGGTTACTTCTGTAAAGTCTATCTTCAGACTATTGCTGTAAGATTTCAGCTCCAGTCTTACAGGTTGGCTGCAAAACTGAATGTAGTTTAAAAACTCATAAAAATGTCCTGTATTATCAAAGTAAACTCAAAGTATGTGATATGCAGTAGCAATGTCTTGGCATTGCAATGGCAGGGTTACAGCATTAGCATTTTTTAGAAATATGCAGAAGTATAAAATATATGAAATATACAAATGCAGCCTATAATACACACAACTGAATTACAATGTGGAACTTATTTAAAATTGAAAATATATAACGGACACTTTGTTGGAGTAAATGAGTTTGATACAGTATGGTAACATTGTCTCAAAATGTTTAATTTCCTGTCCAGTCCTAGGCTTGTTTCAATTTCAGTGTTTCTGTGATGTCATGAAAAACCAAATCATTTACGTATATCATCCTATTCAGTCTACAACAGTTTAGCCCTGCCCATTCACCCTGAAGTTATATGGAGTGTTTCAGCCTGAAGTGCTGTTTGAATGGGAACAGAGAATGAATACATATATATCAGCCTTAAAGGCCTGGTAAATTCTGAGTGATAGATATTTTGGAAAATCATGATGTAAAAATCAATTGTGACTGTTTTTGGTCCATAAAACCACACAAATGTTATAAATTGAGCTCAGGGGGCAAATAAAATGCAAGAAATATGGAGAATTTGGGCCTTAGAGCACTGCATTTCCATCACTTTTCACCCTTTTGCCCATTCTTTCCTTGTGCTGCTGTTCACCTTACAATTTGCCTTATTATCTTAATGAGTAGCATTTTTAAAATTTTCCAAAAAATGTAACACAGACAGAAGTGCTTTATTTGAGTGTGTTCTATTGCTTTTGTACAACTGTTCTGCAAAATAAAGAACAAAATAAAGCAAAGAAGCCACAAACATTGTATCAACTGTGCTTTAATATTGGCAACTGCCTTAGCCAAAATGTAGCAGCCCTTTGCCAGTGACAAAACATCATCACAATCAGATAATTTTTTCAATACTGGGCAGATTAACCTGAATGTCGTTTTGTTCCAGTCAGTCTGTAAAGCAGTTCACAGGAATCTTGCTTGCCTAATTGTACTGCATTCTTTTCTGGATCACTCCAGTTTGTTTTATTACAGCTGTGGTCACAAGTCCTGACTGAAAAAGGACTCTATAGCCGCAACAACAGGTTTGGCATGATCAAACAGGCAGCAGGTCAAATATTATCTTATTGACGTTATCAAATATGTCGGTTTTCTGTTTTCGTACATGCTAAAGCAGGTTAGCTGCAGCGTAAAGCAAGTCGTAACTTATCAACTGGTGCTCTTTGGAAAAGAAATGGTAGAACGGTAGAATGCTTCTCAACCAATCAACAGATCACGAGTGTAATAGAAGGTTTTTAATATATTAGTAGAAATTAGAGCTAACTAGCCTAAACCAAGCAAATCACTATTTGTGTTAAAGCTACACCTAAGAGTTGGGTGGAAATGTGTTATTGCACACAAAAGCAAGTTGGCTGTGCTTTGGGCCCCTTCCCTGAGTGGACGAATCTGATTGTAAGTGCATTGGAAGAGCATTTAAAAGAACTCAGTCAAAACTTTTCTTTCGAAGATGAAAGTGTGAATTACACACTGTTTTCATCATATCTTTATCAGTTTAGTGTTGATTTTTCTTTTGAGATCAAAACATCAAGCTTGAGCCTGTGTGTGCGACATTAACACGTAAAGATGTATGACATCATCCTGCCAATTCTGGCTCAATGCCTCAGAAATTTAAATTAAAATTATTTCATAATAATGTAATAAGGCTAATAAGGTTTTACAGGGTAATGCTGCTACTTTCAGTTTGAACCAAAAACATCTTACACAGTGCTGCTTTAACAAACCAGTGGAGGTGGAAAATGTGACATCAGCCAACAACACAACTGAGATTCCTGATACATATATTTTTAGCGACAGCATTTCAGTATTTCTTAATATCTGGTGGGGGCATGATCCAGCCCATGGAAAATACATGCATATGACTTTATACATAATGTGCCTATAATTTAAGCATTAAAGGTTGTGCTGAATGTAAAGTAGAGCTCCAAAGTTATCACACTATGTGCTGATATAATACACTCACTTCTTACTGGACTGAGTGCATTTGAATATGAATGACAGATGGCAAAAATTCCAGAATAAGTAGGGACCAACATAGCAAATACTGGTTCATCTTCCATGGCTCAGTTAATGCATGTGATGCATGTGAAAGAAACAGGACACACTATACATAAACATGAGTTCTATAAATAAGACATTCCATTCGCCAGGACCAAAAACTGGTTTGTGGGTTGAGAACATTCAGATATGTTTGATCATGTTTTCTGAGGCGGATATTGCATTACAGCCGCCTCATGGTGCCATACAGATGAGTAAGCGCCTCTTATCTACTGCTTTCTTGTCTCCTTGTCAAGCACCTTCATAAATGGTGCTGGTAGAACTTTTATAATGGCAGCTGGCGTTCTAAGTTTGAGGATCTGAGCAGCTAAGTTTGAGGATCACTTTTCAATTAAATTAAAAGCGGCTTCATAAATGGTGCTGGTAGAACTTTGGGAATATTTGGGAATATTATGGAATGCTTACTGAATGTCAGAAAGTTCCCCAAGCATTTCAACGTATGGAGTCGCATCAATCAAAAGTTTGGGATCACTGTTTTCAATAAAATCAAAAGGGGCCATATAAATGGTGTTGGTAGAAATTTGGGAGATTTTGGAAATGTTATTGAATGCTATTGAACGTCAGAAAGTTCCCCAAGCATTTGAAAGCATGGAAATGCAAATCAAAAGTTTGGGATCAACGTTTCCAACAAAATCATATAATGAAAAGTAAAAAAACTGGTGCTGATGAATGTAATGCAATGATTGTATTGTGATGCTACATCTCTTCATCTTCAACAACTTCACAGATTTCAGCTCATTAGTAGGAAGCTGTGGAAAAAGGAGAAATTTTAGATGATAAACAGAACAGTTGATAATTCTCTCATGACTGAGAAAGCTGTAAAACCCTGAGAATGAAGCTGTGATAAAATTTGCATCCAGAGTGCATTATATCTGAAACGTGGTTATCAAATTTCAGGCAGATAACGTATCAAGAAATGACTATAAGTAAATATTTATAGTATATTATTTATCACTTTCGAACTGTTTAGACTTCCCAAAAAATTTTAATTGCTATCATTAGTTTTTCTATCTACACTGTATAAGTTATCACTGAATAAAACGTCAGCAATTATTAATATGACAAGCGAGTGAAAAGTTTTGAATGCTAGTGTTGTTGCTAGTGTAATGTTAGTGTAATGCTAGTGTAACAAGATTTTATTCAGTCATTTTGCACCATTCCTATTGGCCTATTGTTCACACAATATCAAGAGAGTCTGACAGTTTCAAATGCTGAATGAAAATAAAGATACATAAAATAAAAAAAAAGAAAAAAATGGTTATGAGCCGATAGGAAAGTGATAATAAATGCTGACCAGTGTTTTCCATGTAATAAATCTAGACATGAGCTTCTTGAATAAACTTGATAAATATAAATAAACCAACCACAGTTCCTTTAAGCTCTAAAATTCATTAATAATGCTGGGTTAAATATGGAACAGCCTTTAACACACCTTCCTTGAGAGTCTAATTTTAGCCCTCGCTCCCTTAGCCAATCCGGCCCAACCCTGACTTCTGCTGATCTGGAACGGCTCCAAGAGAGGAGTGCTCTGACCGAGTATAAAAGGCCCTCACCAAAACACGGTTGAGATTTATCCTATCAGCAGCACTGCTTACACGAGGGGAAGATGAGAGACACTTCATGTGAGAAGGAGATGGCGTGCTCAGCTTGTTTGAGGAATTCTGAAGGGGCCGTTGAGCAAAAAGGAAGCATGTAAGTCAGATTTATAGATGTCTTTGTGTTTTATGAAAAGAGCCATAAAGATATTTTAGATTTTAATACTTGTCAATATTGTTGCTCATGGTTTTGTGTTCTGTCTTTCACTGTATTGTATGTAGAAGCAAGAAAAACTGGAGATCGAGATTAGGAATTTTCCTGAAAACCTCTCCACACTCTTCACCAGCCAAGACACAGAGAAAACAATACAGGTGAGGCTTTGTTAGTGTGCTGATGTAACATGGAAAGCGTTTAAAGTATCATAAAGCCTTAGATTTCACTTTGACTTAATATTATTCAGTTATTTGGGCAAAATTATTTCTAAAAATACACTGAATAAACAAATAAATGACTAGATGATGTGTTGACACAGTAGTGGAGCACAGTCAACACAATGTATTCAGTTTAGCCTGAGACTTTTATTTTGGCAAAGAAATAAGTACATTCTTTATTAAATATTATTACAGTCAATTAATTATACTTGACGCTAACATCACAAAAACTGGTGCAGCTAACTCACCACCTCCAGACAGAACTTGTGAGTAAAATGTCCTGTTCTTTATGCAGACCAACCCCTGATGAGGTGAACCAGTGGGCGCAGTCTTTGGATAAACTGCTGAGCTGTAAATGTGAGTATCAGCTCAAACACAACTTCGCAAAAACAAAGACCACACTGATATCGGCATTCTTAAGGAGGCCAAAAAGCCAAACTCACAGGTTGAGTTACTCTTTCTCTCCTGTTATTTATGTTTCCCCAATTCCAGACGGAACAATCGCCTTCCGGCTGTTCATGAAGTCTGAGTTCTGTGAGGAGAACATTGAGTTTTGGTTGGCCTGCGAAGAATTTCGGCACATCAAGTCGCCAACAAAGCGCACAGCCAGAGCCAAGCGCATTTATAAAGAGTTCATCAAGAGCGAGGCTCCAAAAGAGGTAAGCTTCAGATCACTGGCTTTACAGTAGTGTGCAAAGGTTTGGGCACCTCTGCTGAAATGACATATTTTGTTGATTTTCTAGGTGAAAATAGGTCAGCGTGTCCTCTAAACTGCAAAAAATGATACCTTAGCAATGGAAATATCACAAATATAGTCAACACATAGCATATTATGATATTCTTTCAATTATTTTTAGACATTTTCTTAATTGAAGGTCATTTTATTTTCATGAAAGTGTCTTCCACTGGCAGATAAAAGCAATATTTCTTGAAACTAGTATAATGATCAGCCAGTGGAATGAGACACTTTCAGAAAAAAATGAAACATGAATAGAAATAATCTTGATTAGTCTTATAATGTTCTTACAACACCCCCATACTTGCAAATATTAGATAGATTCACTGCATTTAAGATGTTTTCTCTTTCTCAGATATCATTTGTTTGCAGTTTAAAGGGAACTTTTTATGTTTTTTTGTATACAAATTTTGCATATGACCGTACCGACTGAAAGCTAAAACATCAGCCTTAATGAGCGACCTTCAGTTACTCTCTTTACCCCACATGCTAAAGTCTTATCAACCTCTTCTTTATTTAGATCAATGTGGACTTTAACACAAAAGACGTCATCTTCAAAAGTCTTCACTGTTCTACACAGTCAAGCTTCATCGCGGCCCAGAATAAAGTCTACAGCCTGATGGAAAACAACTCCTATCCCCGCTTTCTCCAGTCGCAACTCTACACTCAGCTGTGTCAGCTCGCTCAGGGGAAATGAAGAGAGTGTGCGTCCTGGGAGTAACATATTACAGAACGTTTAATCCATTTCAACACAGATTAAACATCGATGCAGAAAAGTCACAACAACTACAAACACAGGGTTCTCTGAGTGATGCCAAAGAACCTGTTTTGTTTCCCTAAAGCCAGCTGTGAGAGTAAAGAGCCTTTTAAAGGTTAAACCTTCTATGTCTATTTAAGGGTTCCTTCTTGATCCTTTACATTATGCAGAAGTTCTTTAAACTTTATAAAGGTTCTTCACACTTAGGAAACTAAAAGAGGTTCTTCTATGGCATTAAGCACAGAAACCTTTCCAGGGCCATTACTTTTAAGAGTGTATATAAAAGTTCCTAGATGGTTGTTTGGTTTAGCTGTAGAACCTTTACATTACATAGTGTTTGTTTAAGCTTTAAAAGGTCCTTCACACTCTGATTTGTCATTTACAATAATAGTTCTTTAAATAAGCATCCCTTAAAAAGTTCTGTAAGGAACTACAAGTGGTTCTTCTATAGCTTCACTCCAAAGAACGCTGTTGGTTACTTTTTAATTTTTGTTCTTATGTTTAAGAGGGGTAAATGTCTTGCACTATCCTATGTACATGTTTGTAAATATTTGTAAAATACTTATTATTTTTGTGCCCTTTTTTGGATCCATTAATGTATATTTGGCCATTTACTTATGACTGGTTCAAAAAGTATATGGCATTTTTTCTATGAGGAAAATTCTATTTTTCCATCAAATAAAAGCTTTTATTTATAAAGCATTTCATTGTTCTATAGCTGTTGTTTTTGCTGTCAGAAGAGCGTCTAGAGTACTGGTGTTTATATTTGCAAAAATACAAGCTCCCACAATATACAGCTTATAGCCTCGGACAAATGCAGTCTGTTTTGATCACACATATATTTAGTAGCAATAAGTGGATTTAAATATCAGTGTCTGTGTTTCTGTGACAATGTTTTTGCTGCTGTTCTGACATTAGTTGGTTTAATCAGTGTCTAAGAAAATGATTCCATTAATGATTAGTTAAGTTGCACACACCTAGAGCTGCAACAGGATTACTGTGATACATTTCAGCAAAATATCTCAATCACGATAAATAGCATACAAATTAGGAGAAAAAGAAAACGCATCCTATTACTGATGAATTCATGTGAGAAACAAATGAATACAGTAAATACAGTAAGGAAAGTGAAATTATGCATTGTCTAATTAGCTACAGCCAGAGGAAAAACGCCTGTAGCCTGTAGTTAAATTATTTGCATTCCTTTCTAAAAACGGCAAAACGGCTGCAGTAACACAAACAAGAATACAGAACTTTAAAGAATGCCAATATAAAATAATGATGAATGAAGTGATACTACGTTCTGAAATAGGACAAATAAGCACGAAAGCAGAGAACTTGCTCTAGGGTGGATAACATACGCAGCACTGCACTGGTAAAACTCATCTTCTTGGGTCAATAACTTCATGAATTGTCATATAATCATTAACATTTCATTGCAGGCCTTATCATTCACTTTATAAGGCCCCCAGGCACATCCAAAAACAAGAGCAGACCCAAACATGAACCAACTAAACTTACAGTTCTAGTTCTGCTTGAGAGACAACTGCAACAATAACCACAATTAAGAATTTAATTGTCTTTTTGGTCATTTTATGTCATTCTAAAGTGTCCAACTTGGCCAATTAGCTTCCTTGCATGCTAGTTAGCTTAGCTTATTAGCGAATATGAACTAATACTGCACTGTTCTGCGCGCATATTCACACAAATGTCTACATTTACACAGAATCATGTGTAGAATCAATCAAAGATTCGACTTTTCTCTGTTAAGTGTGAAAGTATGAGCAAAAACACTCACTCTCTGGTGGCTAGCATAAATGCTAATAGTGTTAGCTCCTTATCTACACTCAAAAAGATGGCTTATTAAGGGTTCTTTAGTAAAGACAATGATTCTATACAGAACCATGCACACTCAAAGAACCATTTGCATGCTTAAATGGTTCTTCAGATTGATAGAGAATGTGTTGTATATGGTTCTATATAGAACCTTTTTGAAAATGCCACCAAAAGAGGGTTCTTCTATTGGTACAAGCATGACACTGTTACCTTTTTTTGGTGCCATAACGAACTGTTTTCAGAAAGATTCTATATAGAACCATATACAACACATTCTCCATCAATCTAAAGAACCATTTCACTATGCAAAGAACCATTTAAGCATGAAATGGTTCTAGATAGAACTCCATTGTCTTTATTAAAGAACCCTTGAAGAACCATCTTTTTTAAGAGTGTAAATAAAACCCATTACAGAGTACATTTGATGTTACAGCTTCAAAAACAAGATTTTATCATTGTCCAATGTTTTGTCTATGTTTGTATTCACTGTAAATTGTACTGTAAATTGAACTTCTTCCATGCTACCTGCCTGGAGGTATATTTAACCATTATGTTTACAAACATGCTATGAGCTCTTTCCCAAGAACTGTAAATATGTAAAAGCCAGCTAAAACAAACTGGAACTGTGAAAAGGGCCTATTTGGTCTATAAAACAGAGACCCATCTTTAAGCAGCCTTCTAGGGTATGGAACACATTGTTATGAATATGCTTATTACTGACGACTGCTCTGCTCTTAATGCAGAGGAACAGCATTTCACATAACATTCGTTGTGCTATTACTGTTTGTAAAGACGCAATAACCACAACGACAGACCCCTACTTTCGCCTCGTTCCTGCAGATGATGTCATCGCCGAGTCTGATACTAAACAGATGCTCGTTCTGTTTTGACTGTTCTATCTAAAGCCAAACTCAGACTGTGCAGTGATCCTCCACAGATTTCACACCTTCTGCTGCAGTTCAGCTCCAACACATCAGCTTACTATCTGCAAGGCAATCATACAACATTCAAGACTGCCATATTATTCATTAAGAAACAGGAATATTAAATGTATGTTATTTTAATTGTTCCAAGACTCAAAAGGGAAAGCAGGCAAGTTGCGTGTGGAAAGCACAAGCAGCTTTTGTACTCAACACATTTATATGAGAAGAGAGCAGAAGCCTGGCTGGTAAGTAAATATTCCCAACCCAAATGTTAAGAATAGCCATTTTGTCCTTTCAACAAAAATCAAACTACCTTGAGAGCCACAACATTTTATATCCATTTAACCATCTTGGCTGTAAATATACAGATATACATATTACATACAAATATACACATAATATATTGTAGGCTAAAAAAATAATGTAAATGACAACGCAGAAAAAGCTCTGCTTTAAGCATCAGCACAGATTTTAGCAGCCGCTTTTCTCACATCTCCGGCAGGAAACTCTTCCTTGAAAGTGGAATACTTTCTTGGAAAATGTCTCTCAACGTTAGATTTTTTACAAAGCTGAAGTCAGCTTCTCATTTGCCAGCTTCTTGTTTGAATTTTCCCATTCCACCTTAAATGGTGCCTTTATCTCCAAATTATCCTTGTTCTTTCTAAATCTTTCTCTATGCCTTGTCGTTAGCTACTAGCTAGGCTACTAGCAGTTGTCTGTGTTGGTATGGTGACCAGCAGTCTGCGCGCCAACCTTCAGGGTTAAAGGGAGAATTAGCAGTTATACATTAACTCCAATGTTTAAGACCATTATTGTTAAAACTGTGTTGAACGAGCAGCAGAGCTTTATTTTACTGCAAAGGAGGATCATTTTATTTTTACCTACAAATCCACATGTTGCTGACCCCTGCTCTGGAAGCTGTACAGTATCTCCAGACAACCTAATAAGACTTACCAAGTGCCTAAAAGTTAAAATGATGAAATTCATCTTTAATGCTCTTCAGAAAGTGAAGATTTTAAACTTTCAGTTGATCCCACATTTGTACTTGTGAGTAGAGCAGTTTATTTGTTAAAAGTGAAAAAGTTGTGTGTTCAGTTTTGTTTTGCAGAGAGAACAAAATTTCAGATGGAGTCAAATGTAAAGGCAACTCCTTATTTAACGGTGTAATTACATTTAAATAGTGTTAAACCTCACTCGCATCCATTGTTCAAAAACAACACACTCAAGTGCAACAGCGTTTTCTCTGATAAACACTATTGTGGTCAACGTGAACTGGAAGTCAGAATGCATTCTGCTACATTTCTGAGTGGAAATAAGTTTTAGAGAGTTTCTCTAAACTAGCTGAGCATTTCTCTCAGTGATAGGTTGGGGTGGTTGGTGAGACGATGAAACATTATTAGTTAATATTTTCCCCCAAACTTTAATTAACAACAATATCTGCTCTGTGGTGGTCCTGTGGGGGTCCTGACCACTGAAGAACAGGGTAAAAGGGGGCTAACAAAGTATGCAGAGAAACAGATGGACTGCAGTCTGTAATTGTAGAACTACAAAGTGCAAGTGGAGCTGATAAAATAGGCAATGAGTGTAGAAACAAAGAGGTTGTTTTGATGAAATGCCCCATCAGTGTATATCTCTACTGAAAAACTTACATTTGGGTAAGTAAAACGTAAAGCTTTCTTGTAATTAAAGTTAGCTTAGATTAGTGATTTTTCTCTTTTAAGGTGGCCTATAGGTGGGGTTGCTTCCATTTAAAGCTACACTTCCAGTGAAAACCTACTAACGTTCATAATTTAAAACACTATGATGTTTGTATATATGTATATAAATATATACCAAGTAAGAGTAAAATGATTTTGCATTGCATTTATGTAAAACAAGTGCACTGTGAAAACAGCTATATTAAAATTGAAAAGATCTAGAGATGTCCAGGCATGGTTTACCTCAGAACTCACGCACGTTTCATTTGAGAAGCTTTGACTCTTGTTACTGGTCAACCAGTGTAGATTCACAGGATCTACAGCTAATTTTCCCAAGTAAGTATTTGACGCTCATGTTTTACAGATCATACCATCTGCCTTCAAGCTCCTGAGGGATTTGAGAAATTTTAACATGTGAAAGGCAGAAAACTGACACGCTGAATACAGAAAAAATAGCAGACTCAAAACAGAAATTAAATTTTAAGCACTATTTAAATTGCCAGCAAGAAATTCACGTTGATTTCAATGTTATATCTACGTCAAACTCTCAACCAAAATCACCAACAATATTCTGTTGTTGAAAACTGGTTGTGTTTTGGTTCTTTAACGTTACGTCGAGAATCCAAAAAGAAAAAGACGTCATATCAACAATCCTTAGGCATGATTAGCTCCTCATGCAAAAACACAAAAATAGTGCCCTAACATATATTGATCAAAGATTAGGCCAAAACAAGAATATGTCATTTAAATTGAACGGTAAGGTGAATCAGAAAAAAAAAAAAAAGTCTATTTGGATTTCAGGTTGACTTTAATAAAGAACATCAAAACCAACAGGAACTGCTAGAGAACCACGCTGTATGCTAAAGGAGCGCCACTGGCTTTGCAAACAATTACATATGTGCTCACGTGTACGTGATGTACTGTATGACATCCTAATCCCTGGTTTTAACAAACACTCATATTTGATCAGTCAATATACCTTAGAAGATCGCAGACTGTTTTCCAGGAACCCTGGGCCTCCAAACAATATAGCGCAGTGAGAGCTCAATATCATAAAGCTGCTTCCAACCCACTCAGACTGATAAACACTAAAACCCCCCAGAAGCACCATTTCCAGGCACAAATCGAGGGTGCAAAGAACTCTACTTTGGGTAAAAGTGTGTGTTCTGTTCTGTTCTATTTAAGGCACAGCAGAGTAAGACTGTGTGTACTTTCCATACTTGGGGACAAATGTGAAACTACATGAGCTGTAAGACAAGGACAGCTTCAGTGGAGCATGAAACAATGTAAATAAACACAATGGCAAGAATAGAAACAAAAGACTTTGCTTAGTGTGTGGATAGTTCTCAGTGTACAATGTATTTAGCAATGTATTTTTCACCTACACTCTTAAAAAAGGTTCTTCAAGGGTTCTTTAGTAAAGAAAATGATTCTATATAGAACCATGAACACTTACAGAACTGCTTGCATGATTAAATGGGTCTTTGCATCATAAAATGGTTCTTCAGACTGATGGAGAATGTGCTGAAGATGGTTCTATATAGAGCCTTTTCGAAAAGGGTTCTATATAGCACCAAAAAGGGTTCTGCTATTGTGACAAGCTTGACATCATAACCCTTTTAGTGCTATATAAAAGCATTTAAAAAAAAAAAAGGTTCTATTCCATCTTCAGCACATTCTCCATTAATCTGAAGAACCCTTTCATGATGCAAAGAACCCTAATTATGCAAAGGGTTTTCTGAGTGTTCATAGTTCTATATAGAACTATTTTCTCTACTAAAGAACCCTTGAAGAACCATCTTTTTTTAAGAGTGCACACTCTTATAAATAAAGAGTGTACTAAGAAATGGTTCTTGACTTGAACATGCTGGACTTTGGAAAAATCTGTAAAAGGTAGAGGAACGTTTGTAGGGAAGGTTTTTTAAATCTATAAAAAGTTTTAATTAGATTCACAGGATCTACAGCTAATTTTCCCAAGTAAGTATTTGGTGCTCATGTTTTACAGATCATACCATCTGCCTTCAAGCTCCTGAGGGATTTGAGAAATTTTAACATGTGAAAAGCAGAAAATTGACACGCTCAATACAGAAAGAATAGCAGACTCAAAACAGAAATTAAATTTTAAGCACTATTTAAATTGCCAGCAAGAAATTCACGTTGATTTCAATGTTATATCTACGTCAAACTCTCAACCAAAATCACCAACAATATTCTATTGTTGAAAACTGGTTGTGTTTTGGTTATTTAACGTTACGTCGAGAATCCAACAAGAAAAAGACGTCATATCAACAATCATTAGGCATGATTAGCTCCTCATGCAAAAACACAAAAATAGTGCCCTAACACATACGTTTGTAGGGAAGGTTTTTTTTTTAATCTATAAAAAAGGTTCTTCACACTCACATATCATTTGCAAAAAGGTTAAAGAACCTTAAAGAACCACCCATTGAAAGGTTCTTTAGTAAACCAAAAGTGGTTCTTCTACAGCATCACTCCAAAGAACTCCTTTGGCATCCTTTATATCTGGTGGATCATTCTCAAACCCCCAGGTACACTGACGTGGTGCTGGTGTGAGTGGATCAGTTTTTAAACACCTCAGTGTCACTGCTGGACTGAGAATAGTCCAGCAACCAAAAATATCCAGCCAACTGCATCCAGTGAACACTGATGATCACCAACAAAAACAGCGCAGCAGCAGATGAGGTATTGTCTCTGACTTTACATCTACAAGATGGGCCAACAAGGTAGGAGCATCTAATAGAGTGGACAGTGAGTGGACACAATTTAAGAAGTCCAGCAGCACAGCTGTGTCTGATCCACATGTACCAGCGCACAGACTAAACACACCTCCTAAAGTAGAGCTGATATTAATCTACCATAAATTTGATGTTTGTAGTGTGAAAGTTTACAAGAATGAAACTACTCACAATTTACATTATATGAATATTAGAACAAAATAAAGTCTACTGAGCTTTAGACAGTATATGCTGCAAAGAAAAGTTTTAAAGTTATCTTTAAGCAGACAAAAATAATCAGATCTCAATGACGTTTGTAAGAAAAAAATCGAGCTCAAAAAGGACAGAGCTTGCCCTTTCAGAATATGGGTGCAAGCAAGAAAGCCTAGATAGAGACTAAAAAAATGTATAAAGCATCTGAGCTATCATGCAGTAAAACCTGTCACTACCTGCCAAAAATGTATTTCCTGCGATGATACAATGATTAAAAGGAAATGGCTCGTTTAGTTTAAGCAGAGCAGTGGAATCTTTGGAGGTAGGGAGCTGCAGCTGTCTGTACTTTTATCAAGCAATAATAGAAATGAAAATGACAAAAATTGGGTAACTTATTTATTAAAAATAATAATGCAAAATAATAAATTTGGCATAGGCACACACATATTCTGAACATGCTCAAACTACTACAGAAGCAGTTTGAGTCTGCACAGCATGTTTGCTCCCATGAACAGAAACCACACTTTAACCAAACAAGATGGTCCCATTTGAGAGTTTTGCCAAACTTTGACATGTACCTTTTCCTCTCACTGTGGAGGTGCAGGCAGCGCTGCTTCATTTCCTTCCTGCGTCTCCCTCACAAAACCGACAAGCACGTTTGCCTGGACTTACTCAACATGGGGTGGGACAAAGAGACAGACTACAGAAGTGCTGGTTGGTTGTACTTGATGAGTCATCCACATTACAAACAATCCAGTAACACTGTAGGCAGGACATTGGGCCAGACTACAGAAGTGTTTTTTTGTGTGGTTGCGTCAGATAAAAATTATAGATAAAACATAACAAAAAACAGATAAATTATAACAAATGTTGCTTTTATCGGGCAAGGAAGCAAGTTCAAATGGCGATTCCGATAATCGGAAAAAATGTCGTATATCGGCTCCGATGATCAGCCGGGCAGATAACCGGTCGGCCCCTTGATTTTACATTGAGACCTAATCGATCATCTATCTGAACCTTCTTTTCAAAACCTGTGCATGTGACATTAATACATAAAGACATATGATGGGGCCTGAACAACTCCAACCTAACATCACTTAAAAATAAATTATTATTTCAGGCTTTACACAGTCACTCATACTGTAAAGTCCACTTAAAGAAAAGGTAAAAAAAAAAAAACCTTTATTTAATGACAATCTGATTATAAGCTCAGAAAATACTCAGAAAGAACAAGCTGTAGTGTGTAGTGTGTTCTTAAACACGATTATATTTTCTATTAACAAGCTTTGTTAACCATATATCCAGCATATTATCAAATTAAAACATGTATTTTTCAGTTTCACACTTCTGTACAGCCTCTTCAACTCTATGTAAATAAATAGCATTTTGAAGCATTAAAGTTCTTTTCCTCATGGGCATGACTTAATATCACTTAACTGATACTGTAAATACTACGGATGCACTGAAGTGGAAATCGTGGGCAACTGCTGATACCTGATATCTTTCATGTACATATCTTCCAATGCTGATACAGATACATAAATATATATAAAATGGAGAAGCTGGGACTACATCTACACGGATTAGCATTACAGGTTATTTCTGGATGGTTACAAATGCAGTAAAGTGAACTGAACACAGATGTTTTTGCACAGTAGACCAGTGCTGCCTAAACACTCTGCTATTGTGATGTACAATAAATACATAAAGTGTTAGTTTCAAATATTAGTAAAATCTTAACATCTGTACGATACAGATCATTTTTTAAAGCAATTATCTGTCAATTCCAAAATAGTTCTGATTTCATTGTGCATCCCTAGTAAATTTAGGAAATATATTTAGGTTAGATGGCAATACTGACAATTAAAACAAAATCAACTCATCTAAAAGTGTAATGGTTCAAAAAAAACAAATCAAACCACAACTGTTCTGACCAACAATGGAATTTATATGAAAATAAGACAGGTTTATTTAAACATTTCTCAGCATGCAAGCGTGGAAGCTTTTAGACAATATGACAAAAAGCACCACACTCGGGGTTCAGTTTATAGGTGCTCTCATTAGTACAGATGACGAAAGTACATCAGGGGATTCCGTGGCAAATTACACAAATGACTGAAAATGTGGTGTTACTACTTTGCTTCTTGAATTTTTTTGGCACTTTGCTTTTCTTTAGCCTGATGGAAGAGAGAAAAATAAGAAAGAGAAAGAAATTAAAAATTGTTTCAAACTCATTTTCTTGCAGCTACACTCTACATGCATTTAGCAGCATACAAACCTGTAGTGTAGAACAACAATATGAAAAAATAAAGCTCTGGGACATTTTAAACTACATTCAGGGTCGCGGTGCTGCAAAACTGTACATTTTCAAAAGCCACTGATGAACAAAGCAACTTCAAGACAAATGTGATTTCTGAAAGATTTGGTTACATATCGAGGCATCATGAGAGAGACAGAGTAGAATGTCCTGAATTAAATTACATCAACACTGCCTTCTAGTGGTATTCAAAGAGCTGTACTTCAAATGTTACAGTTAAACAGCAATGTTACGCATCTATCACTTGCCTTTTCTGACTTATTTTTAAACTTTTTTATTTAAATATTTTAGTTGTTTGATAGGACTTATAGACTAGTGCAGCTTTTCAACAGATCACAAACTTACCTTTTCAACCAGTGGGATCAGCTGTTGATACTCAGCAAGGGTCTTCAGTAATTCCATGATAAAGGGTAGGTAGTTGTGCTTCCTTCTAATGTTTTCAATCTAGAGGCATAATTAAAACATACCATTATTATTATATTTATATTATTATTACTACTATTATTATTATAAAACATGCATTACCAGACTACCACAATTTTTACTATTATAAAGCATTTTCTGAAAGCTCAGAGTTCAGCTTGTCTCCATTGAGCTCCATTTAGAAAATATTCTCTGCTTTGTTGCTTAGTTGTATGTTCAGTTGCAATAATCATTGTAAACAAAAAAGGCTGCTCTCTAATACACAGTATTGCCAGCTTTCACTTCTTGTAACCATGAAACTGCAGTGCCATGGTTACAGGAACATTGTGTACCATACAGGTACTGAATAATTCAGTGTTCCTGAACATGAAAATCATGTGATAACTGTGAAACCTGTGCCATTTTGGACACCAGAACAAAAAGCTATTTATATGAGCAGTAAGTATTTATATGCTCATAAAAACACTATTATTAGAATAAATATAATTACATTTATTTAACAACAACAACTGCTTATATGTGTGCTAATACGTTCATTTAACCTTTTCCAATCCTCTCTTCGTGGCAGCCCAGTACTATTTTTAGTTATCACCCGATGCCTAATTTGGTTAATAAATGCCTCATTGAATCCACATTATGTAGGATTTGGAGACCTCTCTGGTGAAAATGTGCAACTGCATGCAAAATGCAGAAAAACATTTTCTAAGGTCAGTTGGTTGCACTTTGGGTTCCTTCCTCGAGCGGATGAATCTGATGATTGCAAGTAAAAGAGCATGCAAAGAGAATCTGGTCTCAATTTGGTGAAGGGAGAGTCTTTTGAGGATGTAAATGAATTATCTACTATTGTCAGCATTTTTTATCAGTATGATATTGATTTTGCATGTGAGACCTAACCATCGAACCAGACCTAGCCCCTGTGCACAACAATAATATGTATAGATGTATGCCGTGGTCTGAAAAACTCAAACTGCAAAATCTAATCAGACACATCTTACTTTTAAATGATTATTTCAGGCTTTACAGGGCAACTTGTAATAGTGCAACTTAGTATTGTTGCTTCTTTTAATTTTAACAAAAAAAATCTTACATAGTGCAGCTTCAAATCCTCTAAGTAGCCTAAAAGATATCAATTAATAATGCAATTGTTTGTTTGCATTTATTCTAATAATTATATGGTGTTTTTACTGGTGTTGAAGAGTTGCGAGAATCTTCATCTCAATTTTAAGCCAATAAATCAAGACATCGTAAAAGAAAACATGTGGACGTACTTTGTATCTTTTAAGTTTCTGATTTTCCTCCTCAATCAGGAGTTGGAACTTGGCGATTTCTGACTGGATGGAGCTGAGGAGATTTCCGCCCTGGTCTGTGTCCATTGGCTCTTCCTGTGATCACAATGACATTCTTACATGAGGGGAAAACTTGCTGCTAATGAATGTCCCACATCTCCACTGAGCACCTACCTCTGATAACTGGGCCTGTAGCTCTGCAATTTTACGCTCATAAATCATCTTGCGGTCTGACACAATGGCCATCAAGTTGAAACGGATTTCACCTTCACTGTATCTGACAATTGAAAGAATAGGGCCAGTTAAGAAAAATATTAATCTTATGGAAAAAAAATGACGGTAATTCTGTTTCTGACACTTACTTCTGTATTCTTTTCTCAATTACTGGCCGAACTGCACTAATCCAGTCATCCTGGTTGCAAGCACCTAAAAAAACGTCACATTATTTTCAGAAAGTCATGGCCTAGAAAACAGCATCTCAGCAGTGGGACACAGCAGTGGGAAAATACCAGTATGCTAGGATGTTGTACACTTTTTCTTTTCTTTTTTAAACAAGTGACCTCTTTTATGAACAGAACTTCTTTTCAGACTTGAGTTTCCAAAATGTACAGTTGAATGTCTTAATCTAATGACTTCTATAAATGTATCAATTTCCACTGCAATGTCAAAGCCAATTCATTTAGTACACATCAAATTAAAAACTCATGTTACCTAGGTCAATAGGTCCTTCACGAAGTCCATCCAGTTCATAAAGTCTACCATTAACAGGCACGTAGCTCACAAAATGAAAAGCATCTTCATCTTTAGATGATGACTTAGCATCAAACTCAAACATCTGCTGTCTGTAAAGAAAAACAGAAAAAATGTTTCTTAAGCAGTATTCAAAACTACACTGGATCTAAATGTTGAATTAGACATGGTGTTAAATGTGAATGAACACATGGTTCTACCTGGCAAAGCTGTTGTGAACCTGTCGTATCACTTCAGAATTACTGAGAGCAAGACCCTTCATCTTAAAAAGGAAAAGGACACAAATACAACATCCATAATAAACACTGATGCACTTGAAGAGTGGCTCAAATATAAGACAGATCCTGATTAATTTTTTGCAGCATTAAAATGACTGGGTAGTACTGTAACAGTGTCAATACTTTGCAAAGTTTGTTCCAATACAAAGACAGTTGAGAACATTTGAAATACAGTACAGAACAAAACTTACTGCAGCATCAAAACTGTGAGAGAATTCTCTGAACTCTGTCAGTGTTTCACCCAGGTGCATGTCAGGATGTGAGCAGTTCAGCAGCACGCTGACAATCGCTTGCGTTGCACAAGCATTGTTAATGACCTGAAACCTCAAAAATACAAAACTGAATAATCTTCCTTGTCTTTGAAGATGCATACAGACATACAGTACAGTGTAAAAGTTTGAGACACCTGAGAAAAATACATTTTAAAACTTTTTAATCAGGCTACTTAATAATTTATTTTACCACAAAATACTAATGTCAGTGTTGGCTAAACCCTTTACAAATCTCTTCTTGAGTAAAATAAATACTATTCTTAGTTATCATCCAGTACCTGATTCGGCTAAGCAATGTTTCATTAAAATTAAATCAGGTGTACTGCTGGGTGAATTTGACAGATCTCTGTGATGGGTAGAGACATCAATGAGAAATCTGAAACAAATCCTCTGTTCCTCTAAATCACAAGATATTAACTATTTTTCACAAGCAAAATGTGTTGTGTCTTACAGCATTAATGTTTATTTGAATGTATTTTGATGTTATGTAATGTTTTACACTGGCAAAAACACAGGTGGGTGCACAGATAAATGGTTTTAAACAATTTGCTTCAGTGCTTAAAACCTTTTGGAAGGTACTGTATATAAACAGATATATAACTATGTAGTCCAAAAAGGCTACACACCTGCTTGGCAAAAAAGATCTGGTCAAGTCTCGAGTCCTGTACAATGGACCCAGCTGGTTCCTCACCAGGTTGCCATTTGAAGAGGAAAATTAAGCCATGAACCGGTCTGGAAGAAAAAAAAAAATATGTAAAATCAATTGTAAATAACATTCCTGCTGAATGCAAAATCACTGCAATCACACTTCTGATCATTCAACTCCTTTCTTACTTGAGATTTTCAAAGTTCTCTGGCTCCATGCTCCATATCTCCTCAACTTGTGCTCCTTTGCATCCTGGCGATGGGTAAAAAGGAATAAAATGAGTTGCAGAGACACTAGTTCACTCTGCCACACTGCAAACCTACAATCAACATTTCTAGGCTTAGTTTTTCTCTCAACGACCATGTACTGAACTTAATTTCTAATGGGTTTGATTTCTTTGCTGCAGATGGGAGAAGGGTGTCACGCTAGCTCCTCATTCATGCCAGTGCCAAGCTAGCAAAGCTGTCTCATATGTTTCCTAAGCTTATTTACTGGAGTTGCAAGTGCAAAATAAAGGTTAGCATAGTTTATCCAGCGCAGCTATGTTTTCACTTCACTATCATTTCGTAATGTGAGCAGCTGGACGATGATCATGATGATGACGGTGAGCCCATTCACTCAATCACAGCGCTAGCTTTAGCTCAGTTAGCCTGCTAATGCGTCTACAACAAACACTCCGCTCACCAAAGCCTTTTATCAGTTCTGTGAAAACCCCCGGGTCACTTTCCATGAGGCACCATTCTCCAGCGCTTCCAGCCATGTCTGCGAGTTAACTCAGCGAACGTAACGGTAATTCAGCATGTAAGTGAGCTGACTGAGCTGCTGCGCTGTGCTAAAGAAACAACACGACACTTGAACATTCGCACACAGCTTTCTCTTCGACGCGGTGTTTCTGAAGGAGTTCGGCTCAAGACTGCCCCCCACCCGTCTGCGGGCGCATTACACAAGCCAAACGCTCCTTACGTTCAAGCGGAATTTTCAAAACTTCTGCGTTATTAAATGTTACCATGTCAACAAAATCACTCAAAGTGTTTTGATGTGAAATACTTCTAGAAAATGTTAGAGTCAGAATTATTCACAGTGGTGGTGATAGGAACCAGGGGTCGTATTACAGATCTTTTTGTCTTGACTTAAGATCTGACAGGTCAAGATCAGATTTTTCACAAATTCCTGTTACAGAAGCAAATCTTATCTTAATTTAGGAATCTTATCTTATCTTACAGCATTTTATCTTAAGTTAGGAAAACTTAACTTACTCGATCAAAGTCAACAATCAACTGTGTGTCTGTTAAAGAGTGCTGTATTCCGTACAGTACTTCGGCACTTTTCGCGTTTTAGTAGTTATTGCGGAAATACCCGAAGTCATACTCGATTTAATGATTGGTTGGACTCTGCAAAATCTGCCTAGCAACCAAGATGCATTTTGATTGGTCACATTTGGGCCAATACTTTTAAAGAAATAAGGAAAAAACATCATCTGTGTCATCGGTTTGTACCGTCAGTATTCCGTACACCAGCTTCCACAGAAGGAGCAGTTTTCCGTACAGTTTTCCCTGCATTTTATTTGAATGTAATTGCATAAAAATAGACATTAACTGATTATATTGATTATAAAATTGAATTAATATAAACATTATGTGCAATGAATGAGGCTACAATGGAAACAAAGTCTAGTAAAGTGAGTCAGTGGTATGAAGCTGCTCAGCTGAAAGGAGTCTGCTAATGTATCGCTAACTTAGTTGAGGTGTAAACTTAGATTAACAACTCAGTACTAAATATACTGTGTTTCATGGTGATAATCCATTGTTTAATATTCGTTTAAGTGTTAAATATGATGTTTAAATGTGATAAAATGCATTTTAACCGGCCGTGAAATTTTTCCCCACCCCATTCACATTCGCATCCCTGGGTTTCCCCACCCGCCATTTTCGGGTCGCGCTGGGGGTCAGTTTTTTGCATAGATTTGATGTCCAAACCCAGCTTAGATGATCTTGCCAACCGACTTGATGGAAAAATGTCAAGAAAGTGGGTTTTTTTTACACAAACAGGAAAAGTTGCAAGTGTACGGAATACTGAAGTGTACAGAATACCGTGCTCTTACCGACCCTGCGCACGGCTGAAACATAAACACATAATCCAGTTACTTAGCCAGACAGCTAATGTTAGCTACCGTTACTGAGGTATAAAAAAAGGTCTAATAAAACTAAATATATTAAAAATAAACTGAGAATGAAGAATATTGTGTTTTTCAGAGCGTCACTGCTCCCCAGTTTCAGTTTCAGTTTCCCAAACGCTTTAGCCGAGCGCGCTAACGTTATTCTTCCTAATAAACAGACACACATTCAGCTCCGTCTCCTCATTATTCACCAACATCACTGCAATATTGTATCACCAACATTAACACACAAAGGTAATAAGAGGACGGTGGAGATTGTGTGTGCAGCGCCTGGGGTTTTTAAAACGCTGTTAGAAAAAAACACAGGTCAAAGTTTTCAGTGTAGATGTAGCGTCATTATGCTGGTTACAGTGAACTGTGCTGCCTGACAGCACAAAACAATAGAAACAGACGGTTAAACAGAAGATAAGACAGCTCTGGGGTTGTTTTAAAGTTAATAAGAATTTTTGCCTAATTAGGATGTTTCCATTATCTGAAGTTAGGATAAGATTATGAACTTAAGAATTGCTGTTCTGTAATAGCTTCTGCCCTAAATTCAATCCTAACTAAAGTTGTCATGGTGACTGAGCAGATAAGATTTCAGACTTAAGAAGTTTCTGTAATACAGCCCAAGACGTCTGAAGTGCTCAATGCATCTAAAAGCTCCCTCATAGAAAATTATTGCATGAAATGGTTATTAATGCGCTGCTTGATGTCTGAGACATCGCTTTACAGTAGTTTTGTGACAGTTTTTGGTCTACAAATCATAATTTTGTTTCAAAGTTTTTGTTCATCTCTCACTACAATACACAGCATGCATTGTGTCTGTCATACAACCATCCAGAATCCCCCCACAGCAATAAAGAAATGTTATTTGACTTTCTAACAGTAGTCTAAGTTCCCTTTAAAGCTACCTCACAAAAAGTTATTCCGCAAAATAGTTACATACATTGCCTGATTGTTGAGACGTTCTTTCACAATAATTTTTGAATAAGCTTTTGGCCACATGTGCTGGTTCCTATAACCACCATTGTAAAGAATGTCCAAGTTGGTATAAGTTTATCTGCAATGCACATCAAATCACTGTGCACCAAGTGTCTGTGATTTTCCTCAGGGGAAAAAAGCTCTCTTAAAACATAAGTTTAAAAGGGGCCACATTGTGGGCAAACATATGTGCACTGGCAATATACGCAGACAAAAAAAAATGCACTGTTCTAATAAATGGGCGCCAGGGCCAGAATCACCTAAACAGAATTAATACACAAATCAGCACGCACATTATTTTATCTGGGGTGTTGGGGTGTTCATGCACTCCTCCTTTGACGACAGAAATATCATAAGATACAAACTGTGTAACTGTATATGATGTTAGACTCTTTTTGGGCATTTTAACTATATACAAGTTTTCCATCACAGAAATCATATGCTCTTTGAGTTGTCACAGTTCTATATATATCCATTATGTTTACTAAAGGACCATTGAAGAACCACTTGCGACCTTGACTTTATTTTGGGAAGGGGGGGGAGCAGGGGTCCTCTCCAACATCATCGTACTGGATATAGTGATACAAAGCATTCCTTTTATTAGCAAGTTATTGTTTTTGAATTTCATAACACATAATGTAGATGTATGTGTCATGTTAATCAAGAGTCATTCTCGCCTGAATTTTCAGATCTTTGTCTCGGCCCATAGTCACTGAGCACATGCTACACAGTGTATTGACATGCATGCAACATTCTGAGGAATATACAGTCATATGCAAAAGTTTGTACACCCCCAGGCAAACTATGCTTTGTTGATTTTCTAAGTGAAAATAAGTTAACGCACCCTCTACAGTGAGCAAACTTAAAAATGGCATTTCTCTGGAAATTTAGTGTTGTTTGTTTCCATATTGGAAAAAATTCTATAACTTTTGCACAGGTCACATTTTATGTTTTGTCACTATGTAAAATTCAGTAAATAAACTGTAATTGTGCATTAAAATGTGCAGAGGAGGAAGTTTACTTATTATCACAGAAAACATAAACAAAAATGTTATTTGACCAGAGGTGCCAAATGTTTTTTCATACCATTATATGGAAAATACAGGGAAGAGGGAATCATTTCCCAATCATTTGAATTCACTTTAAAATAGTGTAAAAATTTCCACCACCCATTTGAACACAAACATGCTGCTTTTTGGGCAAGGACAGTAAATAGTTCCATTCACTTGTTAAAAATACAATACAATTTAATACTGAGGTAGGATAACTTACATCATTTAAAAACTAAAATACAATCCAAAATAAATAAAAAACCACCTATACCTACAAAGACTTTGAACAGTATTTACACTACAGGAGTAGATTTCCAGGGAAATAAATGATTTACAGCAAATACAACTCCAGTTCCAAGTCAAATCAACTTGTCAAAAACCCAAAAACAACAGGATTTGGTGACTGAAAGTGTCTGTTGGCACTGCTCTTCCCAGCTGTTCATCATCTATACTCCTAAAAATCTAGTGGCTCTGAAAAGATGGCAATAGTGCAAAAATGGGTCAATGTACATATTGGTTAAGACAGCCTGGAGGGATTTTGTCCACTCCCTGATCCCTCTGGACCGCTGTTCAGGCAGCACGGGCTACACTTCTCAATCAGAGGTAACAGTTTCCCCTGTTGGTGAAGCTGCCGTGTATCAGAGCCTCCTCCGATGCACTGACCGTTGATAAAAACTCTTGGTACCTGAAATCAATCAAGTAAGTTAAGAGTTCAAAACACACACAGTGAATGTGCTCATATTTACAGAATGTGTTACCCTGCACCAACCATATCTGCAAAAACTGTTTCACCCTTTGGCTTATCTGTAATATTACCATTTACCAGATTTTTGGTATAACTTATTTTACACAGTAGTGATGTCAATAATTAAACAATTAACTGACAAATTAACTAAGAAATAAATTTTAAACCAATGCTATCGGTTAAAACAATTTAAACCTATGTTTTTATTTCATTTCCAAAAAACAACAGTTCCTATTTGAATAGGCAAGTTTATCTTTCAAGTTGAGAATTATACACATTAGGGCGCTATAGGCAACTGGTTCTGCTAGATAAACCTACTAAGGAAAATATGATAGCACGTCTACAATGATGTACAATATTGAACGCAAACTTCTGCAAGCTATAACACAACATGTTCTCTGAGAGAAAGTCTAAAGCATGTTGATGTGAGGAAAATTCTAGAGAAGTATGTGGTTAAGCCAAAGCTAGCCCTGTTCACGACATTTATGTTTAAGCTGGGTAGGTTATGTATCACCATCCATACAAGGAACACTGTTTAATATCTCAGTGCATTAATAATGAATTTAGCTGATGTGCACATGTGTGTAATATTAATATTTTGATGGGTCACGTTAATGATTTTGCTGGTTGACAATTAATCGCTGACTAGTCATCAGTAAAAAGAATTCGTGAAAATTTGCATCCCTAATATACAGTGCTGATCAAAAGTTTTGAATCACCTGTAATATTAACTGTTATTTTATTTATTAATAATATATACAGTGAAGACTAAAATACTTTAAGCTAGACACCAGCGGATATGTTAAGATATTTTATTTAGTATATCATTTTTTGCAGGGCATCTAGCAAGAGCTTACTAAATGATTAATATGCTGTATCTACATATCTATTTATATTAATCCCTTGATAAGAGATGTGACACAAATTTGAGGTATTCTTAATGTTAATTTTATTGTAACTTCATTCTTAATGTAATTCACATTATAGAATCATCTACAGCTCTGTTCATCATTCTGGATACATTAACACTTCTTCACTATATATATATATATATATATATATATATATATATATATATGTATTTACTTATGCATGTATCTGAGTTTTATATTATTCAAAGCAGTGATTGCAAACTGTGAATGGTAATGTGCATTTGGATCACTGTAACGTAAGCATGTTGCTTATATTGCTGGATCAAAACCTCGAAAATGGTAACTTTACAGGAGAACTTTACAGGAGGAAACATACTTTACTTTTAAGTTAAGTCAATGGGACCAGACTTCATTTCTTTTGGTCCATTCATCATGAAACTTACACATGTGAAGGGCAACAGACACTCAAATTATGTCAAAAACTGAAAAACGACAAAAATGGAGATACGAGGTTTTGTTCCGACAGCAGCGGTATGTTACACTGACCGCATATTTATAAATGATGTACATTTTTTTTTTATTTTAAGAGTATAAAAGCAGTTTTTAAAGACATAATCAAGATTTTTCATCATTTTTTTCCATGATGTATACCAAATTACACTCCTTACCGTTCTGGCGCCAGTCATTTGTGCCAAGGCCTCTTGAAGCTGTCTGCCATGATTGTGTTCATCCAATTCGATCACTTTGTAAGCGGCTCCTATCTCATTAAAGACATTCTTGGCCATCTTGCAATACGGGCACGTTGTCTTGGAGAATATCACAACACAGTTATGGGCCACAACATCCTAAAGCGATAAGGCAAAATGTAGAAACAGTGATGTTGACCCCAAAATAACATAGGTAAATGTAAAGTTATAGGTAAAGTATAAAGACATGTGAAATGTGATTCCTACCTGTACAAACTGGGCAGACTCTGTGCTTGACAGCCCCCCAATGGATGTAAAGTTGCCCATCCTGTGGATAAGACATATGACAGTGTGGTTATTTCAGACACCAGCACAAGCAGTTATCAAGAACATCAAGAACTTTGTTACCACAAATTCTTAAACCTTGTGATAATGACTGGCCGGGAGGAGAAACATGCAGCTGAGACAATGAAAAACAACAATGCCACGGCGGTTAAAACACAAATCTGCTGCCTGTTCAATTTAAATTCAACCATTGCTACAAACACCTGCGCAGTCTGGCGGGTGAGGCTAGTGAGGCTAGTAGGCTAATCACAGGAAAACAGACAACTGAACCTACAATTACAGGAGATTTAGACACTAATCCATTTGTGAAGAACAGTCTGATAAGGGGGCGAGATGTACAATGATCCTCCTGACAGCGCTGTATGTATCAGTTTGCTACTACATGACAGTCCAGTCTATGAAAGGAGCCGTTAACCTAACCATGTGTCTCACCAGGACCAAAAATCCAGCATTACAATTAAAATGAGCCACCAAGAACGTCTTCCTCACATTATTCAGCCCCACATCACCAAACCCTGTTAGTTACACTTATAGCACTTACTGGAAGTCAGTAAAATGGTATTAGCCAACTAGCCACCTAGCTAATGTAAGCTACCAAGAGGAGAATGACCTTTGAATTTGGCAGTAAGTCTGCCGAAACTTGTAAAGCCGTCCTCTCACAAACATATAGGAATTAAAGAAACAGGCGACAACCCTCGGAAACAAAAAATCCCAAATCAAGGTGCTGACTTTTGGCTCGACCTCAGCGATTCACTCTCATACCTCTGTCGGCCGCTACTCTGACCTGGAAGCGCATTGAGGCGTCTAGACTCCTCCCCTCCACATGGCTGCTGTTGTCAGCTGCGGTAATCAGGCAGCCCAAGGCTGCGTCCAGAAACGTTTCTGCTGCCCCTGTCCTCCCCATCCCTTCCTACTGCTTTTCTCCCACCCAGGAAAAACGCAGAGTATCGAGTAGAGGAAAGGAGCAGGAGGAATGGAGAGAACGAGCACAAACCGGAGAAATGGGACCGCCGACTCCTTTCAATGTCTTTAAAGTTGATGCTGACTGCTGATGAACAGAGCCTATCATAGCGTTTGCTGCAAAACACACACCTGATACAGCAACACAGAGCCAGAGAACTTGGAGAGGAGGATTACCACTCTGTAATGTCTCTCTTTCTCAAACGCTAGAGGGCGCTCCCCAGCGAGCCCCAAATGAATGGGTTAAGATGGGGCATTTGAGCAAAATCATAGTTTATAAATGCTTAAACATTTTAATGTAAAAGAATACATTAATTTCCTGAACACAGAACAGCATGAAACATTTTAACACTGCTGTTATATTTTTAAGAGTTTTTGAACTCGAGTTACAGGAGTTTAAAACGGCGCCTCATGTACATTCATGACCTCAGTGAGCGCAAACAGCCAATGAGCTGCTCCATTCGCCAACCAATCAGCACCCAGTAGCAGTGATGTTAGCGTCCTACTGCCCAAAACCTATTTGCTGTAGAAAAAAGGAAATACTGTTAAGTTTTCTTTGTTTGTTTTTATTGAAATACATCCTGTCAGGAACGTACATGAGGCACCGTTATAAAGTCCTATAACTGGGGTTCAAAAGTGCACAAAAATGTAACAGCAGTGTTAAAGTATTTTATGCTGCTCTTTGTTCAGGAAATACACACATTCTTCTACATGAAAATGTTTAAGAATATACAAACAAATGGCCAATATCTTCATAAGTTTTTTTTTTATTTTGTTCTTGAGAAGTGTCCTAAGAAAAAGTCTACGTTCATGATGTGCTCTTAAACCACAGAATTATTTGCACGTTTGTAGATTGTGTCTGTAGATTCTGTTTCACCTGAAAACCAGTCCCAGATAAGAAAACACTAGTAAATGTCAGATTCTTCGTAAAAACTGCGTAAGTGGGTTTTAAGAGAAAAATTCTTCTTAAGAACAGTTGGTGAATGAGGCCCTATGATTTTGCTCAAATGCTCTATATTAACCCATTCATTTTGGACTTGCTCAGGAGCGCCCTCTAGCGTTTGACAAACCCAGAAAACATTACTGAGTGGCAGTTCTCCTCTCTACACATTCTCTGAAATGGAGAGGAAATATGGCTGTGATTCCTTTCACTATCAGCAAAATTTAATGTCAGCTGTTGATGAAATGAGCCAATCATAATGGAAGCACACGCTCAAGCTGCTGTACAGAGCCCGCCTGTTCATGTTTTGTGTGTGTGGCTTTGTATTCCATGTTTGTTTTTATTTTATTTTACCTTAATAACAAAATGTCCCTACACAACACAGATAATTATACAAACTCAAAGAAAACACAGGATTTAAAGTATAATCGGATTGCTCCATGTTTGTCCGCCCTCTCTGGGCGTGCATGCAGTGATGTCAATTTAAGATTTTTTAAAGTCTTCCTAGGTAGCGTACACTGATGTATTCTCCATTTGAAGCCGCTTCGACAGGTGGAAGCGCTTCTCTCCTGTTCTCCAGTATTCAGACAGAAGGTAAGACGGGGTCATGAAATCAGCTTTCAGGTCACGGAGGAGAGGAGGAGGATCGGTAGACAAAAAGCAGAAACTTTCAGCAAGCTTGGAGATTTTGGGATGGTCTCTGGTTTATGTTCACTGAACTGCAAAACTGCATCTTTTCAAATGAAACTGCACTATATATGAAACTGCAGATAACCATAAATAAATACTGTTCTTCATCAATAACTTCGTTTTCTATGCATGTTTGTCCGGTTCATGTCTGTTTTTTGACATGGGGGGGGAGCTATTATTGCAGCGTAATAGGAGGAAAGGGGCATTTTTAGGTCCCAGTGGATATTTGGTTACATTTTTGGCATGAAGCATGGAAAATGCTTTAATTTCAGAACACATTGTTACATATAAAAGGTTGGCAAATGTAACAACTTGATGTAATTTATGAAGCATGTTTTGTTTTTCAAAATACCATTTTTTAATGTCCAATATATGTGAGTTGTCTTCTGATGTGTAAAAACAAGTAACTGAATAACAAAATGCATAAATATATATGTGTATAAAATGTTGAGTGTTGCTGTATTATTGTATAAATTGTACATAAATCAATAAATATATATATATATATATATATATATATATATATACATGTATGTATACATATATATACAAGGTGATTCAAAAAGATTCGTCCGATTTCAAAGCAGTATATTTTTACAACCGTGAGGCTCCTAGGAACCAATCACATACCAGATGAAAGAGGGGGTCATAGAGTTTCTGACTGTCACCGGAAGATGGCTCCCTTCAGTGTGGGAGGAGATGGAGAGTAGAAAACGTTTTGCATTTAAAAAAATTGTGCATGTTTTTTCTGGATGAGACTTTTAAAAAAATTATATATTCATGTTAAGTTAAAGAATATTAGATGTTATGTTAAAGCTAATGTCACAGGCAACGTCATAGAGTGTTGTAAAAACAAATTCAGTTCAGATCAATTTCACTGTTACTACTAATTCAGTTCAGATTATTTTCATGATATGCATTTTGCATAGCTCATTATATGTGTACAGACTCTTGAAATTCATTTTTGTACAGGTCAGTTTTCTAAAATTTTAGACAGGCAAAAGTGCCTGCAGTTGCAGAAACGTCCAATTTTACCTTAAAATATCATAATAATGACATTTTTTTCTCTGTAATAACTGTAATTTAGTATCACAAAATTCCATGATACTACTTCATAGTCATGACTTAATGAAGATGTACTATGTCACAATTAAGATAATCGAGATAGAATCTCATCTGTTGCTGAAAATACTATCATTATAATTATAATAAGCCTCGTTGAAATCAATTTGATGGCATTCAGGCATATGAATGAGGGAATACAAGGGCTACAGTAAGTGCATTTCAACCCAGGAAAAGATTATAAAGCGCAGCTGATTTATTACCTGAAACGGTGCAGAAAACTGAAATGTGAACTCTGCTGTATCTGGCGGAAGTTCTGGTCCTCCTGTCAGGAAGAGGTTTGGCAGGCTGAGCAGACGGGGGGTGATTTTGGCCACCCCCGCAGGTAAACAGAGCCAGAGGTAGGTGGAAAAGCGGCAGGGAAGCCAGACCCTTGGAAGCAGACAGAGGCTGAACCGGTGGCAGCGGTGAGGGGGTGGTGAGTGTAAGCTGAAATGGCAGGTAAACAGAACAAGCGTTAGAGTTTATATTGCTGGACGCAATAATACAGCGGAGCTAAAAACAACTGACCAAATGTTTTTTCGTACTGATCACTAATACACGTCAGAATACATGTAAATGCCGTAATACAGGCCTAGATAACTAGGAGTGATTATCAGTATTTTGTAGGCCCTCATGACCCCCACTGAAGCGTAGTGACTTTCATTCACCTTTACTGCCTTTAACACAGAACAAAGTAACATGTTACAGCACTGTGATTACTTCTTCCTGTATGTACCATATTACTGTTACTGACTTAATAAGAACTACATTTCCTGCATTACTTGTATGCAGTGTGTGAAATACCCCCGGTGTTCGGGGGGGTCACTGTTGGCTGCTAACTCACTCGCCATAGCGGCGCTGATGCTAGCTTCAATGGCAGTAAAATGTTTGACTTAACAGTTCGTCTTTTGGAAATGCTCTTTTCTAGTTCAGTGATACGGCCTTCCACACATTAATTACGATCTTATCTCCTCTTTTGTCTTTGGTTTGAGAAATGAGTAACAGCTACAACGTTATTGGGAAATTGGATATGTTTTCAGATTTACAAATATGCTGTTAAGTTTTTCACAGTTATCATGGCCATAGTTACGGTTGCTAGGCTATAAAGGACCAACTGAGAGAACTAATTTGCTACAGCGCCACCCTGAGGCACACCACTGCTGCATCTCTAAGACTATCAAAGACTGAAGCTCACTGAATGTGGGTGGAGCAGGCTAGACCTTTCCCTGAATTTGTATTTGAGCATCTATTTGTCTCTAACGATCAGTGTAATGCAATACGTTTATTTCTGGGGCCCCCCAAAACTTTAATTTGAGACATTCAGGGGGTCCAAGAGGTTAATCAGAGAATCCCAGACCCTCCCAGTTCCCCACTGTACGTCTTTAAAAGAATAAAATAAATTAAGTGTGATGGATTCAAGACATAAATCATATTTATGGATTATTTTACTACAATGGATCAAAGTCAGAGTTGAAAACACAGTTTAGACCTTTAACTGACTTGGTCTTTAGACTAAAATCCTTTTCCTTTGAATGACCATACACCTTAATTATGTTTATTTTATTAAAATAAATGATTTTATTAAAAGAAATAATTGAATATTTTTATTTGTCACTAACAAAAGAATAATAACACCTCCAAAACTAAATGTTTCGATAGCAACAATTTTAGCTAGTTTTAAGCCTAACTCAAAACACAAAACATTTCCTCAATTGCAAAAAACATGTGTTTTGGTATTGACAATTTGTAATGTTACACACTGATTTTCAGATTTTGGGACACATTTACTTCAAAACAGTGGGGTCTAACTTCTCACCATGTG